ATTTTACTATCACTTATTTTGGAATCAAAATAATATATTGTAATAAGGTATGAGTAATGAATGAGAGAAAGAGAAATATTTTTATGATTATTATTTATTGACAACGTTGGAATATGTTATTTTTTCCATTGGACGAGAACTCAAAAATAAAAATAATTTTATAATGGGTGAAACACACATAAATCACATAATAAACTATTATATATCGTAAAAAAACAAAAGATAAAAGATAAATGTTAACATTAATATTTAAAACTATTTTTATACAATCACTATTCTTTTCGCTTTTTAAACTTATTTGATTTATTATTACCGTCTCATCTTTAGTAGCTTAAAAATTTATTGCTTACAAAATCTCTTTTAGGAGATTTCTGGACCAGTGTATTTTGAAGATATTACTGTTGCAAGAAAAACAGATACAGAAATGACAACAGAAACCAGTACATATGATAAGTACATATGATAACTCACTGATAAAAATTCGACGCACGCAAACAGCTTTCAGTCGGGTGGTTTGAGGTTGAGAGGGGGGAGTGCTACTAAGACAAATGCACTTCCAGTTGCAACATGTAGTGGACAGAAAACCAATGAGACTAGTGTAGTTGGCCAAACCAAGATGCATAAAATCACCATCCTCAGGAATCAGGATGACATAACCTGAAACTCAGACTGGTATTACTCAAAACACAAGCAAGATTCACAAAATCTAACTGAAACCAACAATATAATCTATATGTCGGCACTTCCAAAGAAGAAACTGATATAATGTTTACGCCAGCTACCCAAAAAAAAAAAACAAAATGGTGATTCATCAATCAAGTGCTTTAGAGAAGTCCTACAAAAACTCAACTGACAAGGAAAGTACAAGTAGGTGTCCTCCATGTTCTCCACTTCATAACATAAGAAACATAAACCGAAAGAAAACAAAGTTATCCCAATACTGAATTTACTCCCAGCCGGTAGAAGCAACTGCAGCAGGTATTCCTCCTTCAACAGCCACCTGAGGAGGAGCAGCAGAGTCCCACCCTCCATCAGCAACAACTGCAATTTACACACCATTTTTTTATTTTCCCATACTTCTGGTTTAATTTAAAGCTTGAGTAAAAACTTCAAGGCCGTGATAAAATAGGTAAAAGCATTTACCATTAATAACATATAGCACACTAAAGAGACACGGATAAATTTGATTAACCTGTTGTATCTGCAGCAGTCCAACCACCTACAGCACCAGCAGGAACATCAGGAGCAGCTTGCCATTGAGCATCTGTGATTTGGGCACTCGACCAGTCAGCACCTCCAATTGCAGCAGCAGTGCCCGAATAATCAGCATAATCTGGGACAGCTCCAACTTCCTCTTCTTCTTCAACCTTAGACTCCTCAGGCTCCCGGTAGAAGAATAGATCAACCTTGACAAACCAAGAATTTTTTTTGTAAGTACAATACAGAGAATAAATGGCGTGGCAGCACCAGTTCCACTGATTTTAAGAAATAAGTAAATGTTCTACTGAACCAAAAATGAATGAACCAATTAACTCATTTATAAGCAATTGCTCAATTACCATGACCTCCCATTTGTGGCCAGGAGCAATGAGACTGCGCATCTGGAGCACCATCCTGGCCAACAGCCAAAAGAGGCAGCCAATGCTGTGTTTCCCCTTGTTGTTGGCTGGAATACCGATATCAACGTACCTCATTGGGGAATCAGTGTCACAGAAGGCAATGGTGGGGATGTTAGACAGAGCAGCCTCCTTAATTGGCTGCACACAACATAAATATACCGAGTCATTAGAAATTGGTATACAGTACACTAATTTAAGTAATCAACAGAACAAAGGAAAGAAAGAAAAGTAATATAACCAACCTGGTGATCAGTCCTGGGATCAGTAAGGATGAGAAGCCGCGGTTCACTAAAGGAAGTCTGAAGCTGATTTGTAAAGGTACCAGGAGTGTGACGTCCAGCAATTGCGTGGGCTCCAGTGTATTGTGCAAACTTTAGGACAGCCCTCTGACCATATGGCCTGGCTGACTGGACAATAATGTCTTGAGGGTTCTCGATTGCGACAATGACCCTGGCAGCTAACTGAAGCTTTTCCCAGGTTTTGCCAAGGTTGATGATGTAAATTCCTGAAAACAACATAAATTGGCAGCTGAGAAACACATACAAGAATATGTAGAGAACACCAAATTGTCAATAACAGAGCATGGGCACAAAAAGATAAAGTTGATCCAAAATACACAATCAAATGACATGCCTTTTCCATATTACCGCCGAAAGGTTCACATAGCACTCGAAATATCTAAGTTTACATTTTAATAAGAGAAAGGGCGCAACATGTCACACAGCAATCGAAACAAGTCAAATGTACTTCCGCATCCAACAAAACTGCTGTTATTAAAGGAATTACAATTCTACCTCCATCAAGTTCAGCTAGAATGCTGTTTGTGTACATTTAGCACTCCATATCGTACCATCACTTAAGAGACTACCTTCTAGTTCTATCAGTTTCAGGCAATTACATCAAGTGTACTTGGGTCCTTGATTCCTTCTTATAAACCTAAGGCATTATATAGATCACTGTTGGACTCCAACTCCTTGACTTGCATTTTTTACTCAATTTTGGGACATCCTTGAGTTCTTACAAATACTGTAACCAGTCTCATTCCTTCTACTGTTGTTTTCTAAGCCAAGACTTCAATTGAGCGATTTGTTATCCTTTCTAGTTATATCTTTCTCTACTTTGTGTTGACTGATTTATCAGCTAAGCTTAAAACTCTTACTTACTACAGTCCATAACAAAAACAAACCTTAACGAACATGTTACGCGAATAATTTCTTCGCTGCTGCAAAAATGTAAACAGCTTATTCATGGATCTAGTTCCTGTATATGAACCAGTACCACCACTAGCTATACAAGCAGAATAACTATAACTTGCAAGAAATCGAAGAGGACGTAGAATCACATTTCACATCGCATCAAAGAATAGATAAATGATACAGACAGATGAAAAAATACACACGCATTACCATCATTTCTGCGCTTGAATACATAGCGCTCCATCTGAAAGTTGCAGTTTTTGGTGCCGAGATGAGCTTCGGCCGCCAGCAGCATCTGTATGTCCTTCTCCTTGGTCGACAGCGCCATGATTCCACCTGAATTGTTTGCTCTTTCTGGTCTACCGCGAGTCGCAGCTTTGCCCTGTGAAAAAATGGATGCCAAGAGACTCGAAGCGCCACTGGCCTGGCCGTATAGCCTCTTTATACAGAAAACCTAATAACTTTGGATTGGGCTTTTCCAATTATAGGCCCATCACAAGATCTTTTCGAGTGGACATGTGGGCTTGACCTTATTCCAAGAATCTGACTTTCAACACAATCTCCCATAGGTTTTTTTCATTATTTGATCAAAAGAAGATAATTTTTTTTATTAAAAACTAAGCAGTAAGTATTTATATATAAAATCTGGAAAAATAAAATTTTCTTTAGAATTCATATTACAGCTATTATGAGTTATAAAATAATGTTTAGTAATCCAAAAATTATAATAAATAATATATGTTGCATATTTCCATTTAAAATAATAATGCCAGTAAGTATATTTACATAATCTCTATCGTTTTGGGGAAAAAAATATATTTACATAATCTAATCTGGGAGAAAAACAAAGAGAGAGTTCTAGAGGGTAACAAATATATTTTTTTATGTTGTGGAACTATATCATTATTATTATTATTATAATTGATAATAGAAGAATCTCACAATTTAAATTATGTGAATTATTTGACATGTTACTAACACTTTATCTTTGCATGTTTTAAATGCTCACTATTGTGAAGCCAAAGTTTTTTTTTGTCAAAAAAAATAAAAATAAACTTTTGCTAATTGATTTACGAATGAGTATTTTTAGAGAAAATTGCATTTTTAGTCTGTTGGTTTAACATTATAGCATTTTTAATCCTAAGATTTTAATTTATGCTTTTTGATCCTGTTACAGGACTTAAATTGCTAATAAATTCTATTGTATTTTCAGATTCAAATGACTGAAATTTTAAATTTTATTACATTTTCAGTCCCAAATGACTGAAATGACATTGAATTTTAAAATCATAGGACCAAATAGCAAAAATGTTTAATTCTTGAGACTCAAAACGTCAGTGAATCAAACCAACAAGACTAAAGTTACAATTTTGCCGTATTTTAATGAACAAGATTACGATGACTAGTAGTTGGTAAATATGGACTTTCACGCTATGATAGAATGCAAAATCTTACCAGAAAACAACAATATATATTTTTTCCCAATACAAATTACATTTCCAAATAAACGAAAATAAATTGCAGAAAGAAGACTAAAATCCACATGTATTGCATTTATTCACCAACTCATGGTAACCTCAAATGAGAAAAATAATATATAATTAGTAGTTTTCTGTACTTCTTTGGAAGCTAATAAACGTTGATAAAAATGTCAAGAAGCAGTTCTCCTTGTTGGCAAGCCAATAAACAACTCAGTCACAACTTCAGAGCTCTGTGTAGTACTTTGGCTGCATTTCCCAAATTCTTTCGGTTTTTCCATTTCGCGATTTCGATTCAATCCAATCTGCTCGTCATTCATCAGTTCGTTATTATGTAACATATATATTTACGGAGAAAGAGATGATGGTAAAAATGTTTTTACCTTTTCAGATAGTCTTCCATTTTCCTCTAGTAGAAACTTCTCCTGAAAAATCAAAATACATATACATGTTTTAACAAGCAGAAATTTAAGGAAACTGCACAAATAATCGGATATGTAGTTTGATCACACCTTTGCCTGTAGTTTCTCTATTTCCTCCTTGAATACTTGAGCCTGCGAAAATAAGCAACATATTATATGTTACAATTATTCAGGTTCGACGCGTCCTTTTTTGTTCTTACATCTAATGGTTCAGCTAAAAAGTGGAGCAAAAAAACATTTTCACTATCATTTTCACCCTTACCAATAATGTAATTTTCACAAGTTAGAAACGATTCCTTGTAAGCAATTTCTCATTCAATATTATTTTTGTGTCATATTGTTGCTTGTTACGAGACTATATACCTTCCGCGACCTTATGTTTTTTAGGCTTCTCTCCAATTGGTTGTCAATTTCGTGAAGTTCTTCCAAAGAACACGTACCGAGATTATGCCCTAACAGCTTCCTGTGCATAACCGAAGCTCACAACATAAGCCTTACCAACTACTTCAAAAGGAAAAGCAAAAATTATAAGAAGAAGAACGAGAAGAAGATAAAGAACAAAACCGGTGGGTATTCTCCAAAAACTCTATTTTCTTGGCCAAGTATACTGCTTCATGCTTTAGCTAGTGCAAGAAAAATCATATTACAAAAGGCCATTAGGTAGTAAGAAACACAAAAGCAGAAAAAAATCAAATATACTTAACTACAACAAAATGAGCAACAAGGATATATATATACATGTGGTCCCATGGCATGATACTATATATAGTAAAAATGAGCAACAAGGATATATATAAACATGTGGTCCCATGGCATGATACTATATATATAGTAAGAATGAATTCTTTACTAAGAAAAAAAACTAACAAAATTAAATATACACTTACCAAGAATGAAAAAATATTATCGCAACTCCAGAGCAAAATAAATATATAAACAATATTGCGAAATATAGATTTTTTTCATGTCACCATTCGAACCGTGAAAATCTGTCACTTAGGCACAACATGTTTTGAATTAATATATAGGGTGAAAATTTGGTAATAACCATAGTTTTTAACCCGGGAACTGACCAGGGCGTACCGCAAAGTCACTGGTCAACTATCAAGTCACCAAGTCAATGGTTGAACTAAATAGTTTTAAATTTTAAAATTATACATATTGTATTTTTACCATATGGATATACAAGAAACAAATGTCTTGTAATATAATTTTAACATCAAAGTGGGTTGGCCCGACCAGGTCGATGCAACGGTTAAGACCCTGTTAACTGGGTTTGACTGAGTCTGATGTCACTTAATCCGTCGGACTGGTTCGAATTGAAAAAATTTTGTAATACCAATTAAAAATTATATAAATACAATATTTAATAGTATTTGCAGTAAAATTAGGTTTTTTCATTTTTATAAGTCTAATAATAATGTTTTTGTTATTTTGTACTTTTATTTCATATTATAATTAAAATTGTATGATTAATTAGAAAAATAATTGTCAAATCATATCACACTTTAGTAGAAGTTTAAATTTTCACCATTAGTTGGCAAAAATGTTATTTCATTTCATTCACCTTATTGAAAACTAGTACAACGCCCGTGTATTACACGGGTGCTTGTTAATTTTTTCTTAAAATCTAAAATTAATGAGAAAAAATAGTTGAAAATTTAAATACCTTTTATAAAAATATATATATTATTATATATTTAGTATGACACTTTATATATATATATATTATTATATATCAATTGAGAAATATTAATTATATTTTTTATTATTATAAAGATAAATATAATTTATTTATTTTATATATACAATATGGATGTCAAATCGAAGATCATCAAAAGATGATTAATTTGATATATTATATATGTAAAACCGATAAAAAATACAAAAGTTATCAACTTTTTAAAATACATTTACAATTCAATAACTAATTGAAGGAAACAAATCAAAAGTCAGGGATATATTAGTCACTTAGTGTCTCACTATGTAAAATTACAAAGAATTAAAAAGTTATATTAGTAAAAGTGATATTAAAATATCTAAGTTAGATAAATAATATTCATGGAATGCCCGAACCTAGATTATTAATCATTAATACAATATTATTTGTCCAAACCTAATTACGAAGCATGATTCTTCGCCAAATAGGATTACGAAGAACCAGAAACAGCCACGTAGGCTCAACGCATTCGAGAATTATATATAGGGAGATAATAATAATTTTGTTAAAATTGTTATAAGTCAAAAAAGGTATATATCAAAATTTAAATATAAATATATATTTAATTGATAAAAATGATACAAATAAAAATTAGAATTATTCATATCTGCAATCCAATACCATATCTAAACAATTTGAAAGTGCCAAATCTCTTAACTAATCGAATCCACTAATGCTAAAATCATAGGATATATATACATTTTTTTAAAACCTAGCAACATATCATTTGAGCTTTATTACCAAAGTTATAAAACTTATCGCTCAACGTATTGATTTAATGGTTCATTGGTCGAATCAATTGTTGAACCAGTTGAACAGATGTTTAATTTATTAACATTTTTAAATATAAAAATTATTTATATAATAAAAGTTACATATGTAAATTTTGTTACAATAATTATAGCTAATTAAAACATTCAAATACTTAAACTAATTAATAATAAGTTATGTACATGCATTATATTTAAATATGTATTTTATTATTTGTATCAAAAAAATTAAATATATTAACATTTACTTATTCATTTTTAAAATGGACCAGTTCAAACTGGACAGATGACCAGTTTTTGACCTGGACATGTTTGCTGGCAACCGATTCATTCGGCGATCGAACAGAACCGGTCAACTGACCGGTTCCCAATCTAATTGGTCGGACTAGCTGATCGGGTCCAACATTATAAACATTTATTATCACGCAGGTCTAATGGTTAAACAATAATTAATATTCAATTTAACGCCAAATCGGATTTTGGATTGTTTTGTTAATAAGCACTCAATTTCTTGGACTATGCACATAAACTCAAGATATTTTTCGAATAAAACTTTGTAGCTACTAATAAACTCAAGAAAAACGTGGGGACACGATATATTGAGCATGCAAATCTTAAATTTGTATAAAAGTATACAACTATGCTTGAAAGAAGTACTTTATAATATTTGATAAATATTACTCTTCTATCTTGATATAAAAATGATAAGGTTAAAAAAATTTCTTTTTACACAATGACTTTACTTTTAATGTTTTTTTATGTGGATATTATATATTGAATAACATGTCACAATATAATTTTCTTACCTTCACCCTTAAAATTCCATTAAATATACAACATCAATATTGTTCAATGAATTGAAACCTTTTCCATGTAGTTGAACAGTCAAGATAAGCTATGTATTTTAAACAAGTACCAAATATCTTAAAATAGCCATGATATATATCTTGTGAGCTTCATATGAAGCAAAAAAGTGAGAACTATTATGCTTTCTCTAACTGCTAGGCAAGAAATGTGTATGTAAACTAATTCTTGTGATAGTGAGGTAAATAAAGCAAACCTGCATTTGCTGTTCGAGTTCTACGCCGGAATTTCGTTCTTTTGTAAGTTCAAGGTATTTCTCGATCGTCATCTGCATGCTGAATTTTATTTGTTTGGGAATTAGATGAGGAGCAATACTAATGAAGCTGTACAATTATTGTTCTCTCTTCTTTTTTTTTTTTGTTTTCTTTTTTTTGGGAATTAGGTGAGGAGTAATATTAATGAAGATAAAAGTACACTTAAAAAGTAAGACAATGAATGAAGTTGGCATGCTGTGTGTTAGTTCAAAAAGAGAGATTGATCAGAAGGGAAAGAAAACCAGTCTAAATTATGTTCATTATTTTTTTATTTTTATTTTTTTCATATTGATTACATATTTCAGAAAACATAAAAAATTAGTGTTCACTGTCCTAAATCCCTATAAAACTTACAAAAATAAATGTTGGATATACAATATTTTTAACTATTGTTTCAAAAATAATATTGTTTTGATTTAGGAAGATGCTACGGTCCGTTACGGAATCATTTTGTCGGGTTTATAACTGTTAGATCATCATGTAACTGTCGGGGATAGTTGATCCAACGATTACAAACTTTGACGAATTGTTTCGTAAAGTAACAGTAGCATTTTCCTTTGATATAATCATAACCAAGATACAAAACATATATAGCCAACACTTGAAAAACTTTATTTCGATTCAGAAGAGAATATTAGAAATGTCTAGAGATGTTTGTAGGTCAGTTTATAAAAGTTCTAAAACCTAAGAAATACATAACACGACGAGCATAAATTCTTCGATTTTGAGACTAATTATGTTCTTCAATCACTAAGTTAGTTTGAGAAGAGCGATTCCATCTTAGATATGCAAAAATAAAACCAGTCATCTCGACCTAAGAACTGTAATTTCTATATCTCGACCTTAAAACAATTCTTAATACAATATTTTCCACTTTCATTACTTCCATATATAATCATGTTCTTCTCCTTACTTCATACCACAGGCTTCACAATATGCCCTTATGATTCTTTTTGGGCTTCTTTAACCACATAATTAATTTCAATAACAATATTCAGGTGAAATTTAACTTAACATTTATTGAAAAAATAAACAAAATGGGGAAAAAGGGGGAAGATTCTTGCGCTCTCAATAACAGTTTTTATAAGGAATACACGAATCATGGCTCGTATGCAGACACGATATTAAGATAAAGGAAATATCAGGAATTGCTGAGAATGAATGAATTATAACTCTATGCTCCCAAGTTCACCTCTAAAACTTCCCCACTTTTTCACTCTCTTCTTCTATATCCTTACATATTATCGGTAAATGCTTAAAAAGGAAAATTATAAATAAACCCGACTAGTCTTGCCTAATCTGCTAACTTATAGAACTTTTAAATGTTGTCCAAGGTTTTTGTGCATCCACCAACCCCATTAATTGAGCACGTTTACATTTAGACAATATGTGTTGAGTGTTACGTAGCATGCAATGAAATTTGTGGTGAGTTTGCTCTGCATTTATTACCTCTAAAGCAAAGAACCTAACTTAGTACACATGAAAATTTACACCTCGTTTTACCAATGGGGCATAGAACAGAATTCACTTAGACCATGTCATACCCACAGATTTGGCATACCACTTCATAAAACTAGCCATTCATAAAGATCTAGGGAAATTCTACGGTCCCGTTACGGAACCATTTCATCGGGATTTGTAACCGTTAGATCAACTATCCACGATAGTACATGATTATGTAACGGTTACAAATCCCGATAGAATGGTTCAGTAACTGGACGGTAGCATTTCATTTTAGATAAATTAAAAAAAAAAAATTAAAGCCCTAGTAGAAGGCCCTTTAATATCAAGAAACATATCTATTGAAAAGTGAAAACTCTTGGGTTCTACCACATGAAACACTAATGTTTAATTTATTTTACCAATAACAGATAATAATATTTACACTAAGTACAAAATATTCTTCTAACAATTATATTGATTTTAACTTGCTTCATCAAGCACTATGTGTAAGTACAAGACTAAAACACATCAAGTGAAACTCACAAATAAAATTAAATTATGGACAATCATATAGGCTATAATTGGGTTTCCAAGATTTTTCATATGGATTTTAAAGATTGAGAAGTAAAGAATATTTAGAATTGGGACTTACTTGGAGCTTGCAAACTCATAAAGTCTCCCCTTTTGAGAGAAAATTATCAAAGCAACTTCAGCATCACAAAGCACCGAGAGCTCATAGGCCTTCTTCAACAGCCCGTTCCTCCTCTTCGAAAATGTCACCTGCCGACTCGATGCGTTCTCGATCCTCTTCATTTGGACCTTCCCCCTCACCATCTTTCGATTTGATCTACATAGTTTCAACAATTTGTGCCAAATATAAATATATAAAACATCAAGTTTTTTTTTTTTCTCTTTTAAAACAAACATGAAAATAACATACAATACAGAGAAAACTTCCATTCTCACCCCCAAAAAATTAGCCACAAGAACCTTCAGTAGAGTGAGGGCCCTTCAACTCAGGAGCTATGAAAATATATATAACACTTTCAAATGAAAAATAAAATTTAAAAAAAAAAATCAGAGACAAATGGCTTACCAAGAAACTTTTACAGCCCAAAAGAACAGATAATTTAAAAAACATGTGCAAACCACAGGAAGATCAAGCTTGCAACCCCTATAAACCCTAGTGAAATTAAACTCCCAAATAAAGTTTCACACTGCTATACTAACCTCAATTAGAATCACATGTACTGTAGCTAACTATACAACCTACGAGCCCTAGCTAGCTTTTTAAGGATTTGTTTTTTCTTCTTTCCTTTTCTTTTAAGGAAAAAAGAACAAAGGGGAAGAAGAAGAACATAGATAAATATAGTCAAAAATCAAGAACCGAACTGAGGGAACTGTAGATGGAGATTAGATGTTAATGGGTTCATTTTTCACCCAAAATGGAATAATGGGGCACGAAGCTTTTTCTCAAGATCTCAAACTTGAATGGCTATAATTATATAAGCATCAGAGGAAAAGGGAGGATCTTTTATCCTGATATGTATGTGAAAGCCAAGAAAAAAAAAAAAAATCTCTTTATTTTCAAACCACACAACACAACATTATTTCCCTATTTATCATACATATATTATTCTCGCTGTCTTTCCCTATCATGACACCCACTTAAAAGGAAAATGCCCTCTTGCAAACAAGGTCAGCCTGAAAAATGTTGGTTTAATTAGAAAAAATATCAAAGAAGAAAAAAAAAAAAAAAATGAGAAAACCATTTATGGCATCTCGTTTTAGCATTCTGCAAGCTGTAAAATGGAGCTGGACAAGGAAAGATAAGAAAAGGATAAAAAAAATCTAAAAGGGGGTGTTTTTTTACTTTTTTTTTTTTAGTCAGCTACGGTATCCGAAGTTTTGCCCCGACTAATCGGTTGGTCGACGAGTCGCACATCTGGCAATGATGGGTGAGTCTTTCAATAAGGATTTTCTGTATTCACAAGGAACCGAACCCAAAATCTTACTTAAGCATCAAGCTGCTTATCACTTGAGGTAACTCGTGATCGTGTTTTTACCTTTTTTTGTTGCTGTTTTAGAAATTTCAGAAAAAAATCATCTACCAAAAATAAGTATATTGTGTGTGTAAGTGGTAATAATTAGGGGCAATAAATATAAGGGGCTCAAACGTCAACATCATCGTACTATGAGATGACGGGCCGGCGAATGGCGGACTGACAACGCATAATAATTTTTTTTTTTTTTATTTTTTGGTACAACATAATATTTTGTATAGGTTGGTCACGGCGATCCACGGAGGATACTCTTTGAAAACATGACTCCATTTTGATTGGCTGAAAGAAGTCATCGGATTGGTTTCTTGTATTTTTAGTCTCCACTTGGGTTAAATAATCAAATTCATTTTATTGAACTTTGGGAATCAAAAAATTAATTTTAAATATATGTATATTATTTTTTGTGGATATCAAGTAGTTTATAAGCAAAATTTATATATATAAATTTAAACACTATGGTATTTTATCATAAATATTTACTGTAAAAGTTATCTTAATAATTAAATGTAGTTTACTAAAATAAACTTAAAAAATAATAATTTTTTAGACGTTTATAACTCAAAGTCACAAAATTGTTATTGCTCGATCTTAAAATTTCCCTCATAATAAACGCATTTATATGATGTCTGTTATACACATTTGTGGAATTCAAGTCCCTAAAAAAAATGTACAAATTATTGTGGCACAAACAACGCTCAAACCCCTAAGATAAGCGGGACCGACCCAAAAAGATGTGCATCATGTCGATCTCCCTGTCGAGATAATTGTCGATCCCTCAATAACTGCTCGTTGTCGATCTCTCTGAGGAGTGTGAATGGCTCTGACAATGGAACTGATAAACCAACCATCCAACCGGTCACACCATGAAAAGTCAAAATACATGACCGATTCTTAAAAGTCGATTTTCGCACAGCAACTCATTGTTGTATGTTTTTGTTGTTGCTTGGTGTGTTTTATTTGTGTTCGTCTTATTTTATTATTTTAGGTTTTTCTAGATCTACTTGGTGGTTTTCGCTCATTTTTTGTGTTTGTCGTGTTGTTATGATATCTTGTGCTTTTTATTTCTATTTTATATTGTAGGAAAATTGCACTCTAGAGAGTGTTCGCAAAATATTTTCACTACCCGCAAGTGTACGAAGTAGCTGCAGAAAGCGGCGAGCAAGGTCGTATTCCACAGAGACTGTTGTTTAAACCAATTAAGTACCAAAATATCGACGATTAAATATTATCTAGACTAATGCAAATTCGACTGGAGTTTTTATTCTAAACTAATGAATGAATACAAAAATAAATTCTAACACTAATGAAGGCTTGTTCTAAATAAATCAAGTATGAGAAAATAGATTCTAGGCTATGCTTTCCTCGGGATTATTCTAGCAAAGTTTTCTTATTCATTCAAACCTTATTTAATTCTACCAATCGTAGGGATAATCGCTAAAGTGATTTCAACCTTTCTCTCGAACAAGCAAATCGTAGATATTAATTGCTATCTATCTCCTCTCGGTCTCAAGATGAACAACTAACTCCCATAAGCTCCTAAGATTCTAATTCCCTCGCAAGATCCTATCAACCTCTCGGTCTGTTTAGCCTCTTACGTTATGAATTTCTCAATTCTAGCAATCAATTATCTCCTCTCGGTCTCAAATCAATTACAAGTATGCATTCATAGCGGCCGTCTACTCACACAATAATAATAAGCACAAGAAATTGATAAACGAAAGATAGACCGGAATGAATAAACAAAATCACTTCATAAAATAATCCAAGTACTCGCAAATCCTAGAATCTCAAAGAAATTTAGCTACTAAACATATTCTCAATACTCAAACTAAATAAATCCATGAGTTCAATGAAGAAGAAAAAGAGAAAAGAAAGAAGAACTATTGTTTCCGTTAGTTCCCGGATCTTCAATCTTGACTTCCTCGAATCCCTCGTGTGTTTCGTGCTTTCCCTAGGCCTCCAATGGTATCAAAAGTCCCAGAACCGTGTTCCTTATATTCCTTATATACTGTAGGGTAAATATGGCTTGAAAAGGGACAAAATCGCGTAGGAATCCTATTTCCCGCTGGACTGTCTGCGCGTCACACGAGTCGTGTCACTAGCCACACGAGTCGTGTGACTTTCTTCGAATTTTTGCCCCGCTCCCAGACTCACACGGCCAACCACACGAGAGGTCACACGAGTCGTGTGAGCCCACACGACTCGTGTCATGGGCCACACGACTCGTGCGGGAAGGCCGTACCAAATTGACACAAAAGCTCGATTCTTCTCACCCCACACGACTCGTGTCACATACCACACGAGTCGTGTGACCCTGACTGCACCCTATTTTTGTCGTTTTTCATCCCGATTCCATCTTTAACGCTTTTTCGGGCATATTTCCTGCAAAACCAACGACAACTATACCTCCATCATAGATTAATAAATCAAACGAAATGGTGCGCAATCCCACAATAAACACGGTCAAACATCACACTATATCACTCATAATGCATGAAAATAGTGATGAACATCACTCCCCCAAACTTAAACCCTTGTCGTCCCCGAAAAAGAATAAGAAAATCAAAACTCAAGCATAATGAGTGATATCAAACTAGAACAGCTTCAAGTTCTTCAATGCAACCAAGAAAAATTCAAACGATCATAATAATCATGCTTTTGACTACTATCTTGTGTCTACCTTGAATCAACGAACCCTCAAATAGGAATATAAAAGTGCCTCACTCACATGTCATCAATATATAAAAGAGAAGGATACGCTCGAGTCGAATTAAACACCCAGTTAACTATATGTTTGCCAATCATCTAACACCCTACTTCAAAAACAATTAGTAATCGTGAGCTTTAAATCAAAAGGTCTTCTCGGGTTGTAACGTAGGCTATTTGGTCAAAGGTGGGATATATATGGATAAAGTGGCTCAAATAAACAATCATAACATTCGAGTAAATAGACTACTCGACTATTCCGCTACTCATCCCTAATCAACATCAGTGTTTCTCATCCCCAAACCAAAACAATCCATACACAACTCATAAATGCTCAAATC